TTTGCAGTGGGGAAGGACTAGAAAGGAACATAGGAACCATTCGTGCTAGTCCACCCTCCCACCCATCCCACCCCAGGGGAGGACATCCATCACACAGTAATCTCGTGTGTGGGAAATTAACGTCTCCTACCCCTAACCCTGCAGGAGACGGGACCTCCATTTATTCGTCCCTATCCGAGAAGACTAGAATATCTAACCATTTCTTGATGTTATAGAAAGGTAGCAAATTCTTCTCAATTATTTTAAGACCCTGAGTGTTGGTCCGGTCGGGGCTCGAACCCTCGACCTCCCGCACAACAGTCCAGCGCTCTATCCATTGAGCTAACCGGGAGGCGGTATGAGCTAACCGGGAGGCGGTATAGCTAACCGGGAGGCGGTATTAGCTAACCGGGAGGCGGTAACCGGAGGAGTGAGGCTAAGGGTGACCTTGTTATGATAGAGATGTTGCTGCTTTTCAAATGCAAATTTCTTTGTTATCATGCTAACTAGATACAGGTCTCTATCACAACAGGGTCACCCTTAGCCTCACTCCTGTTCAAAGGCTTGGCCACCAAGCTCACAACTGTAAAAAGGACTATTCAACATTCTCTACAAAAGGTTTAAATAAACATTATTATTATTATATTATTATTATAAACCATTGATCCAACATGCTATTTCAAATGTCTCAAATTTCATTTGATTAATTTCACCTCACAGATTCAAAATAATTATCATGATATGATACAGATTTAACACTTCTTTGAAATTCTGCCAACATGGTATTTATGCACAAGTTGGTGGAATCAGAAATCAAATGAGCCAGATTTTTTATACAAACTAACCAGTGTGGAAATACCATACAACAGACTTTCCATGGTGTATTATCTTTTCACCAAACGTGAAAAATGCAATACAAGCCATTTGATCACCTATCAGCTTCTTCAACAAGCTTATGAATGAAAATTTGTTTTGCCACTTTTCAGTGTGTAAATCTCAGTACGTAGACAATTAAATTACTTTCTTGCTCTGATATGGGAAAAGCCTCCTAAATCTCCTTTTTATCACAGTGGCCTTTATTTCTATCTCCATCTTACTCATCAGACACAACATAAATAAAGATCTTATGCTGACCACCTTGCTTGGCGGCACTGTGGTAATAGGGAACTTTAGCATCACGTTTACGGCAAAAGGGGAACCTGAGTGTTGATTGGCTATCTCTTCTGGTTGTCAGAATAAATTATCTTATGTAACGAGAGACCACGAGGTGAAATAAACATGGCAGTTGTGTTGTAGAATTCTAGTGCTCTTTGCTTGCTGCTTAGTACTCTTGCCTTTAATCATCTCTACAAATCAACATGGTGGCAGCTACGGGATTGTAAAATTCAATCATGGCAACAGGGAATTTTCGTCTACTGCCCCAACTCAACATAAATTCTGGAAATATCTCAGAAAACTTTAAACGATGGCAACGACAAGTCGAAGTGTATTTAGCCGCTTCTGGAGCGACGGCGAAGGAAAAACAAATCCAAACAGCAATCATCTTGAATTGTGCTGGAAATGATGTCCTCGAAGTATACGATAATTTCACGTGGAACGAGGAAGGAGATAAAGATGACCCTGAAAAAGTCTTTGAAGCACTCAAAAAATACTGCAACCCACGAGACAACGAGGTGATGGAATCACATCAGTTCTGGAACATCGAGTATCAAGAGCCCTTCGACAAATTCTTCGCTGAGCTACAAACAAGAATCACCGCATGCAACTTTCTTGAAAAGGATAGGATGCTGAGAGACAAAATCGTCTTCACAGTGACTGGAAAACTACAAGAGCTTCTATTGAGAGAAGACAACCTCACACTCGACAAAACCCTGAAAATATGCAGAGCTTTCGAGCAATCAAATAAACAAGTAAAGGAGCTTAAAAACAACATCGGAAGCGCCTCACATTCAACTCCATCTAATCTGAACAAAGTCTCCAAGAAATCCAACCCAAAACTGCAAGACAGGAGAACCAGATCCAACAAGAGCAGCATGTCGAAGGCAGGTAATGACAATTTACAGTTTGATTGTAAATATTGTGGATACAAACATGAACGAAAACGAGAAAAATGCCCAGCTTGGGGTAAGACATGCGATAATTGCAAAGGCCTGAACCATTTCAAATCTAAATGTTCGAAGAAAGTACATGCTGTTGTGTCTCAATCGGAGGATCATAATGACCCTAATAATGACTTTGATGACAAATGGCTTTTCGCCATTAATGATGAGGAAACTGGAGTCACAGCAAATCTCTCTATCAATGACCATATCGTGAAATTCCAACTGGACAGTGCTGCTGACGTAAATACAATTTGCCAAAAACATGTTGGAAGCTAAGCCGAGTGGTGAAAGAACTTGAAAACAAAATGGCGGCTCGAAGTTCCTAAACATGTGCATGCAAAGAAGCACAGTTATGGAGTTCTGTATCAATGTATGCCCTCTTCCATTTCTATAAAATGCCTTTTAGATAGCTAAACACTTGCCAAGAGGTGATGCTGGCGACCGAAGTGGCCCAGCGAAGGCCAAAATGTCCCGCTGATTAAAGGAAATTCCGAGGGTTCTTTCCCCTATCTTTTCGGAAGACAAAAAACCCGTCGTGCTCTCAGGGCGAGCTTGTAGAGAAAGGATGAATAGCCTTCTCTCAAAATACCTTGAAGAAGATAAAAAGGCTCTTAAAAGGTAGGCATTTCCCGCCAAAAGACGTCAACGCCATGCTAAATTCAATTTTGGCGACGACAGCAAACGGGAAACTTCAAACCGCTAGCAGCCGTTTGCCGTTTGCAGTAAATGCGATGCTAAAGGTCCCTAATGACGAGGAGAGACTGCAATTTTCCTTCTATCTGAGAGCCAGATGAACAATGCTTGATTCAAATGATGATAGACTATTGTTACTGCAGGTAACACTTACATGTGGTCAGCTCATGACCAAAAAAATTATGAAATCCATGAAGTTTCCTTCCTGTGCCGCACGAAACCACTAGATATGAAAATAAAAACATGTCAGTACTTACAATTCATAAGTATAATTTCCTTGCAGGAAATTAGCATTTTCTCAGAGTGGAGGCAACATTGCTAGTGGTTGGAATCCTAGACTTGCAAGCCTGAGGTCCTGGCTTCAAGTCCTATGCCACACCTGTAAATAGCACCCACTTTGCTCAGGTTAAATGAACCTAATTATACAATAATTTTCCTTTTTCATTTTTTTCCTCATTATTCAGTTGCTTAATGCATTGTAAAAAATTCTGAGTACAAAGTATTTTGTCCTTCTAGTTGGTGGAAAAACTGTTGAAAGTGGCTATTGTAGTAATACAACCATAGCTAACAGTGGACCACATGATGAAATTGAAACTGAATGGTCATCATGTCAATGACATATCGTTTGAAGATTCGCCACACGATTCTTCCATCTGCAAGTTATATATCCTAGAATAAACTTTACACAAAAACAGCTGTTATCACAAAATAACAGGTAAGCAATGGAAAACCAAACAAAGAAGATTTAATCTTCTTCGATGTCCGAAATGGCAAAATTTACCAGTCACGTAATAGCTTCCTGGCTATTACGTGAGGTGGTCCTTAGCTGAATGACAGTAATCTGATTCACATAATTAAAAGGAACGACTTACCTTTACTTAACGTAACCTTTCTCTTTTCTATGTCTATGCTATGGACAGTTCCTTCATAATCTCCTTCGTTCGTCGAAACCCGCAACCTTGCGCCAACAAATGTACTCTTGTCCGCCATTTTAAAAGCAGAGTCTTGTTTCTCCCAGAGTTCCTTTCACGAGTTTTCCAAGCGCAGACTAAAAAATAGGCTCGCAATGCATACACGCGTAAATTAACCATTTGATTTCGTAAGGGCATTTATTTCCCAATAATCTTTTAGGCTCTATTTGTATTCCTGTGGGAGGACTAGATTTCGGACTTCTACGTAGTTCTTTGATCTCTTGCATACATTGAATACCGCGATCCGCATTCGACGAAAATACTTTAATCTAAGGAATATTCCTCTTTTGAAGTGAGCGCTACACTCGTGTAAACAGACAAATATACCGTAAATGAACAGATATTCCTGATACTGACTACGTGCGACTTTGCCCACCCAAAAAAGTCAAAAACCTGAGAAAAACGGTAGGGAGAGAAATGGAGGGTGAGAAATGAAAACGATGCGAAAAAAAGAAAACAAAAAAAATTACCACTTGCTGTTTTCGCGATATTTTCACCACATTCAAGCAAAAAGTGTGCTTCTATGAAAATTAGAACAGGGACAAATTTACAGACGCAAGAACAATTGGAGTGAGAGGCGCGCTAATTCCAATTTTGTTGTTGTTGTTGTTGTTGTTGTGACAAGTCCTTAAAATCTTGGGAAAAAAACTAAAAGAATTTACTACTCTCAAACAACCTCAACTTCCAAGTGACAATATAAACTAGAAACTGGGGATATCCTGGGAACACAGACGTCTTCCACCCCGCCCTGGGGGAATATTTTTAGGGATTTGTTAGTGGGTGCAGGGGGGGGGAGGAATACATGGTTTTATCACATGGTTTTAAAGTGGAACGGAGGGGAATCAGTCAACCAAAATCTTCTGCTAACCCCATCCCCACACGATAAATGATGACTTTTCCTTGCTTTGTTTTACTCTTCAATTAATTTCAGGGATTATCATTGTTCACTTTAGCTGTGGGGGTTCGAGATGCCTCAACATAAATCGCACTTCGTTGTAAATTTAAAAAATCTTAACACTCTCAGTCTCTACGCATGCAAGGCAGTTAATATCTCTTCAGAATTCTGGAAGGTAAAAGCCGGGGGTACAAATATCAATAAATCAGGTGCTAAGAAACTCTTATGTACAAACATTTTTAATCACGAATTAACCTTTTATGCTGCCTTTATAAACATTCTTAAAATGAAACTTTACGAGAACAATCACATGCTATGCCCTTAAAATGCAAATTACAAGGGACTTAAAGGTTTCCAATTGTCGCAAGCTTCTCCATTCTATGTACATCAATAAAGTATGTTGGCAAATACTTCCTAAATGGTACAAACTACTGACAGATTCCAAGCGAAATTCGACTATTTCTTCTTGGTATGAAATTATTCCTTGGAACCTCTTCTGCTATCAGAGGTCAAATTCGGAAACGGGTTGTGTGAATAAGAAATCTTCTCGCATGACATTGCAGTGTTTATTGTACTCTTTGTACTTTTTAACATAACTGGAAACTTCGGTTTGACAACCTTTGCACTGTCTCTATACGAGGATCCTTGCTGTACTGCGTAGACCGAAAATAACTGATTCAGTCTTTTCTTTTCACGGAGCCCCATTTCTTTAAGAGCCTTTATGTTTTCTCGTTCTACCAAGCTCTCTTCACGCGCAATACGGGCTTCATCCTTCCGTAACTTCAACTCCTGAGAATATTTTTTTGTTCTGTCAACTTTCTGCTGGAGCATCTGATCATCCGTTGACAGCTCCCGGTTCCTTCTTTTCTTCTGTTTTCCTGTGCGGCCATTACTCGAAGTTTGTACCATAGAATCTACGTTGGAGTAAATCCTCTTCGCAGATACGAGTGAACTTTTACGGACGGTGTCAATCGAAGGAAGAAAACTTGACATATTGTCACAAAAATCTGTCTGCCCAAAGTCTCTTTAGATAATCTTTATAAGCGAGATGCTTTGAAATTATAATCGCATCAAAAACGACTTCAATGGAAAGTAATTTAACTCTTAAAGAAACACAGAAATGCGTCATAATTCCAGTGATGACTTTTTATATTCGAAAGTGCACGCGCACAATGATAACTTAGGTCCTGGGTTACAAGAGCACTGTACACCGCGTCCGACACAGCGGCCGAACGACTGCGCACGTGTAAACGTTATAGTGATTAAGTAGCGTGAAGATGGCGTCCATCATGAGCTGCCAGGACCAAATTATCTCACGCCAGTCGCAAAACCACACAAGCCAGTAAGAGGGTCAGGGTGTTCTAAAAGCGTATAATATTTTTGGCAACGTTTAAAACAGTGGTAAATACACAGGATACCCGTACTTGAATAACCTTCGTGTTCGAAAAGCCTCAGGCTACGAGAAGTCCCTCCTTTTCAGCGAAGTCCGTCGCACAAGTAAAAAAAAAAAAAAAAGGCTTTTCTTCGGAAAGTTATTTTCGAAAAGACTTTTCAAGCGCCTCACTTATGGAGTTTCTGCGGTGCCTCGGCGTGACTTCAAGAGTTCCCCGTGGCGCACTAACAGCACTTTTTTTTTTTTAACTGAATTTTTTCTTGACCCGCGCGACGGACTTCGCCGGAAAGGAGGGACTGTTTGTAGGCTAGAGAAGTCTCAAGTTTTCCTTTTCCTTTTTCACCTCTCTTTAAAAGTTTCACTAGAAATAAAGGAGGGACTGTTTGTAAGCTAGAGAAGTCTCAAGTTTTCCTATTCTCTTCTTTCTTTTCCTTTTTCACCTCTCTATAAACGTTCCACTAGAAATAAAGGAGGGGCTGTTTGTAGGCTAGAGAAGTCTCAAGTTTTCCTTTTCCTTTTTCACCTCTCTTTAAAAGTTTCACTAGAAATAAAGGAGGGACTGTTTGTAAGCTAGAGAAGTCTCAAGTTTTCCTATTCTCTTCTTTCTTTTCCTTTTTCACCTCTCTTTAAACGTTTCACTAGAAATAA